GTGGTGGCGTTCGAACTCCTTAATCAGACCTAAAAATATGAATACACGAGTGTGATTTCTTTATTCAATTCATTACGTCAATACAAAGATATGCGTATATACACGATTTCTCATGAGGAAATAGTTTCTCCATGAGATGGAAATAGAAACTCTTCGGCATTGAGTTTCTTTTTTTTAAACTAGTTCGGATTGCTCGAGCTCTGATGAAGTGTAAACAAATACAAACACAAAATTTACAAACATCTGGCGACGCGCGCGCTGTCTTGCAGGGTCACTGGTCAAAACTTTATTGTCTCACGAAATATTTGTTACATGTGTTGGCGATCTGAAATTAAAATCTAAGTGTCGCCAACTGTTGAAATGCATTTCTTAGATAATGTTTTGTCCAGTAAAAGTTAATACTTAATTAATTAAAAATACTTTTACCGCAGGCTATAATCTATTCATCGCTAGTTCAATTTCACATGCAGATCGTTATCTGACATTCGATCAAACTTAGTTTTAAGTAGACCAGACATGCGAAGTACGCGCGTGAATGCGCTGCTCTAATCTAATTTTACATATTTTTGTCATAATTATTATAATTATTCGATGTTCCGGGATGTTCCGGAATGTTCCATCTGCCGGGTTTTATATCGACGGCCAATGGTTACCGGTGTTGTCACCAAAATTTTTAAATTCAAACTTATAGGTTAATATATTACCACTACAAGGGGTCAAGGAATACTTAAAAGGAAAATAGTAAAAACAGTTTGTAAAATAAAGCAAACTAAATGGTATGGTCACATAGGGCACGGGTTTGTGTCTAAATACCAAACTTGAAGCGGCGATTTTGGTCATCGAGTTGGACGCCTAGTTGCGAAGCAAACAAAAATTTAATAACATACTCTGGACTGGATATCACCGCTTCGCAAAAAAGGGCTCTTTTATAGCTGGGTACGCAGTAAACAAGATTTGAATCGGAGCTAAATCCTCTTTTGAAAAAGCCTGCTTGCTCAAATCATTGCGAAATGTTCAAAATTAGATAGATATTTAGATTATGTTTAATTTTATGTGACCGGCCGGCTTTCGTATATTACGCCAGAACTTCTGGTAGAAAAAAAAAACACAGCCTTTTAACCGAAAGTGCATGCATATGACCAACAAATTTTAGTCTAGACATAAATTTTGTGAGAATGCATTTTTTCCCAAAGGGTTTGTCTGCCTTTTATTTTGTAAATTAGCAGGTCAACATGTCGACTCGATATAAGCAGACCGAGGAAACAGTAACTTTCAGAAATCCACACAAGTACACCGCATACTTTAATTTTTCTATCCTTAAATTCATTATTCAAATGACACAAAATAAAAGTTTGTACTCTCATAAAACTTGTAAGGGTCCTATTTATCATAGTAAGGAACAGTTTTTAATTATTATGACATTTTCATATTTACAGTATTTTTGAGAAGAATTAACAATGACCTAATGAAAGGTGTCTTAAAGTTACAAACTGAAGCAAAGAAGCGTGAAAGAACTTTGAAGTCTATTGAATTGAAAACGAAACAAGTCGATAACAAACTACGAGGGACCAAATCTGCTTCCAAAAAGCTGAAAAGACAATTAAAGGAAAATGGTGAAAATGTAAAGAAACCTAGGTATTCCCTTGTGGACACATTTTCTCACGGCAAAAATGGAACAAATCACAGAACAGTCATGTTTCTAGCCTACATGAGATATTAACAGCATGTATGTTTGCTTTCTAGCCAAAAGACACCCATCGCATTACATCCAATTTCTAGTATTTTATTTAACTGTAGCCCCCCAACAAATGTTGTCTCGCCATCCACACCGCAGACTGAAATATCCTATTAGGGGAGGCCGATAAACTAATATTACGCAAAAAAATTGCAAGTAGCCAATATTATTTCCATGTATGGAGTGATGACTCCAACAAAGGTGGCGAAGAGCGGCGCATTGTAGGTGTCCACACCCGGTGCCCAGAGATCAATAAGCCCAGGGCATATGTCCTTGGTAACAGTTTGACTGCGAGTGGGTCAGGAAAACACCAGTCTGATGTAGAATATCATGTTGTTCATGGCATAACTAATGTTTCAGGGTTGGTTGGGGATAATGCCTCAACCCAGAAGGGGAAGGCTAATGGTTTAACAGCAAATAATTCAAGGGTTTTTGAAAAGGATATGTTCTTTGTTGGATGTTACCCCCACGTCCTGAACATTATGTTAAGAAGGATGTGCCAACCTGGGTTTGGGGCCAAGGGTGACATGAATAACAACCGTGTATTGCAACTACTTTATAAGGTATCTTGGCTTCATCATGAACGCCTGATGTAACTGATAAAACGAACAACACACTGAATAATTTTATTCCCTCCCAAAATATCATGAAAATATTATCAGCACCTTTATTCGGATCATTAAAAATGAAAGTGCCTATTATGTTGGAAAAAAATCATTACTGGAATACCAGCAGTTGTTGTGGCTTAGTAATCAATGCTAGCAGGGGTAACTATTTGCATTTGCCTGAAAGAATCGAACGTGAACTCACCTCTCGTAGCCTTGAATTTAACATCTCCAAAGCTGTCTCCGTGCGCTTAGTGCATTCGATATTTGCTCCACTACATTATCTTGAGCGCGCGGGGAAAAAGTTGAAATAACTTCAAGAGCAATCAGTCTAGGTCTCTAGACGTTCATTAGCCAGGACACTAGAAGGCAAATCTCGAATTTCACTGTTTCGGTTTTTCGATATCACCGCCTCTGCCCGCTGAGGACGGCAAAAAATAGTGACGAATAGTCGTCAATAGTCACCGCCTTAGGTCTAATATCCTTGCGTTAATTAATTATCCAAATAAGCAACAGAATTTCAGTGAATTTATTACCTTTTCTTCTCCGGAC